AGGTTGACTTGCATCTCCTACCACTCCCACTTTTTGTCCTTCTTCATTGTAGGGGTTAATTGTAGACAAGCTTTGATCTTGCATTCTGACACTCATGGATGTTACTCCCTGTCCAATTCTAGCAGCAGGGTCTTCTTTGTAGTGTCTGATGCTTCCCCCAATGGACTCTCTCCATTACAAGCAACGACCAAAGAGCTAGGTGTCAGCTGACTGCAAACCTTTCCTCTTCCAGCCTTGGGTTGCACTTCTTCTGCCTGTAATTTGCTCTCTCTGGTTCCTTGGGCCATGTAGGCATCCTGCCTTCCTGCTCTGTCATATGTGAGAGGCCTTCACAATGTTTTCCCTTTTCCTTCTCTCATAAAGTGTATCCAGTGTTGCAGTTACTGCAGTCTCCTACCCCTTTGCAAACAGCCGCTGTAGAACTTTGGGCCTCCAGGATTCTCTGTCTGCCATGCTTGGGCGCAAGGCCAGGCAAATGTGATGAGGAGACTAGTTAGAGAAAGACAAGGACATTCTTGGAGACTAGGTGAAAGGCAAAGTGTAATTGCACAGACAAAAGACATTCATGTGGGTATTTTAAGTTCTGTGAGAAAATACGTTGACCCATTTTGGTCTCATTTTGTATTAAGAAAACAGACAATTTACATGTATACACAACTTATCTAGTGCAGCAAATGCAAGGAATTTTGCTCACTAGAGATTATAATCTCTAATATATTTTCACTTTTTTTTATGTCATATTACCTCATTTATATAAATCATTGGTGTGTTTGCAGAACACAGATTGTTTTATGCTGTGTGTCAATGCTTTGGTTTTGTTCAGATGTTTCTTTCCTAGTCGTACCTTTTATTGATTTTTTCATTTTTATTGTTGTATTAGAGATGTCCCCTTTAATTTCTGTTTTTGTTTTTCCTTCCCATTGAACCCCTCCATCCCACTGCTATCATCCCCCCTTCTACCTTCACCACTCCATTTTTTGTGTCCATGGGCTATGCATATATGCATACAAGTTCCCCAGTTTATCACACCCACACCCACAACCCACCATCCCTCTGAAATGTGTCAATCTGTTCCATGCTTCTATATCTCTAGGTCTACTTTGCTCATCAGTTTATTTTGTTCCTTAGATTCCACATATGGGTGAGATTATGTAATACTGGTCTTTCTCTGGCTTATTTAGCTTAGCATAATACTCTCCAGGTCTATCCATGCTTTGCAAATGGTAAGAGTTCTTTCTTTTTTACAGCGGCTTAGTATTTCATTGTGTGAATGTACCACTGCTGTTTTATCTACGCATCTGCTCATGGGGACTTGGGCTGTTTTCCAAATCTTAGCTACTTTAATTTGTGCTGCTTTGAACATAGGGGCGCATATATACTTTCTGACTGGTGATTCTGGTTTCTTAGGATATATTCCTAGAAGTGGGATCACTAGGTCAAATAAAAGTTGTATCTTTTATTTTTTGAGGAAAGTCGAAGTGTTTTTCACAGTGGCTGCACCAGTCTGCATTCCCAGAGGCACCCTAGTCTTATTTTCAAAGATTCCACCATGGTAAGACATATTGCATATTTTTCCCTTGACGAGTTTATCTTGAAGCATCATGAACTGGCTTGATCTGATGGATTTTGTGGAGAAACTTAAAAAGGGGTCTGTGCAAAAGGACACTGTGGTGAGGTGTGCTGTGCACACAAGCATAAGGAACAGATGTGTACAGTCAGCCCAACGTGGCCGTGGCCTGGGTGCCTCTGTGTTCCTTCCCCTGGTGATTGCTTTTCTCACTAACCCTCTTGTGACTGTGAGAAGACAGGGCTGAGTTGCTAACCCAGTCTTCTACAGGGTGGGGTAAAAGTAGGTTTACAGTTGTGTGTATGGAAAATAGTACAATGGTGTATAAATAACCATACAGCTATAAAGTCTGTGTTTTCCATACTCACAACTCTAAACCTACTCTGCTCCATGCTCTGTGGATTATGCTGGCTTGGGGGAGGAAGTCTATGGATCTAGTAGTTTCTCTTGATGGTAAGCTTTTAGGGTGCCTGTATCAATCTACCTTGGGCTTTTAACTTCCATTGTGTATGAAGTGTGTGATCCAAGAGGCCAAGAGGCCACAAGAAGATAGCTCCTATGGATGGAATCTCCAAAGACACATATTTCATTTATAGGCCAACATTTCATCTTATGAGATGCTAGAGGCCCTGTGCACAAAAATATGTGCACTCGGGTGGGGGGTCCCCTCAGCCCGGCCAGTGCCCTCTCTCAGTCTGGGACCCCTCGGGGGATGACCACCTGCTGGCTGAGGTCTGCTCCCTGGGGGATTGGGCCTAAGATGGCAATCAGACATCCCTCTGGCAGCCTGGCAGCTCTCGGGGGATGTCCACTTGCCAGCGGGGAGCAGACCTAAGCTGCATTCGGACATCCTTAGCGCTGCTGAGGAGGCAGGAGAGGCTCCCACCACCACTATTGTACTGGCATCCATCAGCCTGGCTTGTGGCTGAGCAGAGCTCCCCCTGTGGGAGCGCACTGACCACCAGGGGGCAGCTCTTGCATTTAGCGTCTGCCCCCTGGTGGTCAGTGTGTGTCATAGTGACCAGTCATTCCCAGTCTTTCTGCTGTTAGGGTCAGTTTGCATATTACCTTTTTACTATATAGCAGGGGTCCTCAAACTACGGCCCGCGGGCCACATGCAAATACAAATATTGTAATTGTTCCCGTTTTGTTTTTTCACTTCAAAATAAGATATGTGCAGTGTGCATAGCAATTTGTTCTTAGTTTTTTTTTTAAACTATACTCCGGCCCTCCAACGGTCTGAGGGACAGTGAACTGGCCCCCTGTTTAAAAAGTTTGAGGACCCCTGCTATATAGGATAGAGGCCTGGTGCACGGGTGGGGGCCGGCTGGTTTGCCCTGAATGGTGTCCCGGATCAGGGTGGGGGTCCAGCTTGGGTGCCTGGCCAGACTGGGTGAGGGGCTGATGGCTGTTTTCAG